TCTGCCGCTCCACCATGTCTCCCCGTGCCTTGTCTGCCCGCTCCAGACACTCCTGCTGGACTCTCTTGACGCGCTCTTGACTTTCCCGAGCCTGCTGGTGGAGGCTGGCACACTTAGATAGCTCCGTCTGCAATGGAGGGAATGAGAGAGGGGTTAAGGAAAGGATAGTACCTTCTGTGAGTTCTGTCTGAGATGGGCAGAATGAGGGAGAGATTAGAGGGAGGTTAGGACACTTAACTGCGATGGACAGAACAATAGGGGAGTTAGGGGAAGTTAAAACACTTCGCTCCGGGATGGAAAGAATGAGGGAAAGGTGAGGGTGAGGTTAGGACACAGCTCTGGACTGAATGAGAGAGGAGTTAGGGGAGGTTAGGACACTTAGCTCTGTCTGGGAAAGACAGAAGGAAAGAACAATACTGGTGCATCTTGCAATAACTACTGTACTTGTGATAGACAGAACGAGAGACAAAATAACATGCAGACCTGGCGGGGTCACCACACCTAGTGCAGTTCTTTCCAAGACTTAGTAGACTATCTAACATGTTATGTACATCAGCTAACCCTAGGCCTACAAGTTTGTGGAACTAATGGAACTTTGTTTATTTACAGAGACTACTGGGAAGCTTAAAACCTCTTGCGTTATTATACCGTGTACACTTGAGTGAACATGATATTGGTTTGTGAGGTCCTCAGATTTGATTTGAAGAAAATCTGTTACTTCCTGCCTAGAATAAGCTGATAGCTGACTACCAAAAACTTGGCATATGGAACATGAAACAAAGCTCTGTGAATGATATTGAGTTTCACAATACTAACACAACAGTACTAGCACTACTGGTATATCAATTTTCTACCTCGAGATCGAACACTGTGCAAAAACCTTAAAAACATTTTGTTGTGTATAGATTTATAGATTTAGGTTGCTATATCTAGGCTTTGCCATAATTATGGATGTGTTCCACATGAGTGCATACTTTAAGTATATCAGGGAAAGAAATTGGTTCAAATGTACTATAATAATAGACACACTTTGGGTAAAAAGGAAAAGTTGAATCAAAATGGTGGTCAAATGGCAATAAAGGAAAATAACCATACCTACATAAGACGCTAGCACAACTGCTAGAAACACTACTGCTTTCTAGCCACAATGCACTACCATACAATCCTACCGACCAAAACGTAAACTTAACATTCAACAAAGAACACCATAGAAACCTGCAATAATCCTTTCTTCTCTCTTCGCAATCTCTGCACGCAATGTCAAGGTATTAGACGCAATTCCACGCCCCGAGTACTACACAAATACTGATGTTTACACACAGAGATGTTTGTTTAAACCTCTGCAGAATCAAGTAGTGAAAGGACAACGTTGAACTCAGAATGTCAAGTCAACAACAGCCAAGGAACCGGTGAAAGGGGTGGCTGAAAAGCCTATTGTGTGCCTACTCTGGGTGAAGTATGCTTGCCGGGCTACGGGTGAAACAGAGACGGGTACTTGCTCTACTTGACTAGCAACACACAGCGCTACGGGTGAAAGGAACCAGACCTGGAGATCACTGGAGTTTACTTAGAGGGGTACTCTCCAACCAGAGGTTAGGGTTTGGGTTATTTTTGGTTGGGTGAAAGAAAAATTCCAGTGCAAAAAAGAAACCTAGATAAAAAAGTCTAAAAACACGCCAAAAATAACCAAAAACCCTAACCTCTGCTTGGAGAGTATTAGAGGGGGGGGTGCAATCTCCAAGCAGAGGTATGGTGTTAGCTAGTTTTTTTGTGTCTTTTTGCTTGTTCAATGTATTACTTTTCAGTGGATTTTTTTCCAATGCATGCCTTGATAAACTATAAAGGTCTGAAAACAAAGGCACCAAAGAAGGGCAACATAATATAAAAAAAAAATCAGGAAACTTTAAATATTGAATGGACAAGTCTCTTTATTATTGAAATCAGCACATATATGGCAAAAACCCTGTGCAGCTCTGTTCAGTTTGTAGCACAGTAACTATTTGATCTTCAAGTGATTTGATAGCATTGCAGGTTACATTTTTTATAGGTGTGGAAAGGCATGCAATGAAAAAAAAAGCAACAGCATTTTAAAGGTGCACAGAAATGAGTTAAAACCCCACATCTGCTTGAAGGACGGGACAGAAACTACCACCCAGTCACCATGCGTAATGATTTACCCCCAGACAGTCCTGCACCTGTATCCAGGTGTGAGTGGCCAGCTGACAGGGAGACATGACAAATGGTTAGTCCCCAAACAATAAAACATAACACAACACTACACGTAGCAAGTCGGCGCAGAACGTACTGCTCCTGCATGAAACCCATATATTGTGCAAAGCACTTCAGCAGATTTGCGCATGTAAAGTTAACACTCTGTCTGTAGTTTCCAAATGTTGTGTCGAAAAAGATATTGTCTGCAACAGACAAAATTCTTATGCAACATTGACAAAAAATCCAACAAAAAACATGAAAAATCTGGGTTTCGCGCAGGCGCACTCAGTATGTTTTGCCAACATGCTCACAACATCATGCTTCGTAAGGTTGATAAAATGAATCAGTCAACATTCTGGTAGTCTTTGGTTAGTCTTATTGACCTGAGGAAAATCAGGACTATAATGGACTCATTCGGTTATATTGGCATTTTTTAAACTCTTCACTTTAGACATATGGCCACATTCCAAACATATCTTATCGTCTACCTTTTCTCCACTTTTCTCCAACCCTTCTCCAACAAACATCATGCACCTAGCAAATGTCCAGTTTTTATCAGAATACCAAACATCGCCCGGGGCTTACAGGTGTGATTTATCTACATACTCTCCTCAGGTGAGAGATAAACGTCGGAGAAGGATTAGGGTTACCATGGTAACAGGTGATTAATCCCCCTCCACACATTATGTACCTGTCACTTCACGCTGTGGTGTTTGTGTTGGGTTGAGATACCAGGGCAGCTTGACATGGTGTACAACAAAATCTAGTTTGAACAAGGAGTACTAAATGTTCAAATGTATGTACTTAAGACCTCCTTGGTTTAATCAAAATTGACAGGACCAACTTTGAGGTGTGAAAAGCATGTTCTGGTGTCCCTAAGCAAAAAGCTGTTATAATATTAATAACTTACAACATATAATCGTCCACATCTAACCTTGGTTGTTGTTTAGGGCAAGTTTATGAATGTGTGCCAGGGCCTTTACTGGTAATCTCCAAGCAGATCATACAGTGGCAAGGCAGTAAGCAATGGCCAGAGGAGTGTCCATTATTTAAGCCACCAAAGAACAGTCCTCTGGCCAGTGGATACAGCCTTGCCTACTCTTCAAGCAGAGGTTGGTGGAGAAAATCGTTACCTTTAAAGATATACTGTATATGCCGCCATTTTTTCTGTCACTACCCCTACCGACAGAAAAAAACGGGGCATACTAGTATATATAGAAAGGTAACAATCCTCCCCACCAACCTCTGCTTGAAGAGTAGGCCTTGCCACCGTATGATCTGATTGGAGGTTATTTACTGGGCCTTGGACTATATATGTAATACATTTGCAGCAAAATTATGGTTCTGGGCTGCCTTAGTGAATTTTTAAGAGATTTTTCATTGTTGCCAAATGTACAAGTAAGCAGTTGTGATTGTTTTTGGGTTGGAACCTGATTTGACTGACAAACACCTGTGGAAAGAGTCTGACTCTGAGGGTGTAAAAGGTAGATACTAGTAAGGAATTCACTGCAGTCTTGGGACCTTCTTACCTCCAGTGTCTCGACCTTGGCCTTGAGTTCCTTGTTCTCCTTGGCGATCTCCTGCAGGAATGCGAGCGTCTCGATGTGCCGGCCCGTCAGTCTTTCGTTCTGTTCATCCAGCTCGTCCTGGGACGGCCGCCCCGCACGGTTGCCGTAGCAATTCTGCATCTTCTCCAAACGCTGACGGGTAGAAGAGAAACATAACATTATATGTCATCTGTCATCCTTGTGAGAAATCCATTGAATCACAACTTTCCTGACAGTGTCATCACAAAACAATATCAGTGGTTAAATTAAAAGCACAGCTAACTCTGCCTGACAACATACTCTTCCATTAGTCTCCACCAGACTCCTTTGCAGGCTGAATAAACAGTAGACATTCTTTTTAGGCCGATTTCTACTATCTATTCAGCCTGCAAAGGAGTCTGGTAGAGACTACTAGTACTCTTACAAATTGTGCTTCAAGATCTATTCTGGGCACATACTAGTACATGCTGTGGCCAAAAAGAGAACAAAAAAAACAGCAAAATTCTAGACTTCTGACTCCAGATCATCACAAATGCGAGAAGACATCAAAAAACCTCCTTGGTACAATGTACGGTATCCAATTTACTCCTAGCAGTATACTCGGTAGTGGTGCACCTGTTCACCTTTTTGAGCATGTTGAATCTGGACATTTTGGCGAAAACTCAGCTCTGACTTCCTGTGCGTCTGGCAGAGAAAACTAGACCAGAAGCCAATGTTTTCACACGGAGTTTTACTGGTAAACAGGTGCGGCATGTTGACTGTCAACAAGTTTATTTCACGACTTGAATCAGTTCCATTTTGTAAACATGACGTGATTCAAACTTGAAACCTGAGAAACATTCGAGAAATGGCTTAAACTTACCTTTTTTAGCCCCAAATCTCAAGATGATGAAGATTTTCAAGTTATATACATCAATCAGTAAGACAAGGTGCCATTATATGCGAGGAATTATGAGAAAAACCTAGGAAAAAAACGAGAAAACCCTAAGAAAAAAGTTGATTTTCCCTCCATGCTTCGAAACGTTGTTATGTTTGCAGCACGCAGTTCTGACCTTTCGTTCCCTACACCTTACACAATATAGTACGACATAAATCAAACGAATGTGCAACAATACATCCATTATAGCGATCACAAAAATATTACCACACTATTACATACCATCCTTTACAATATCGGCCTGGTTTATTAAATATTAATCATATTTCCTTGGAGATTTAGTTTGACCTTTTGTGTTCTTTCGCGCGGAAAGATGGTGAACCGGCGGCACACTGCGCGTGCGCGGAGCCGCCATCTTGGAAAGTTCAATTTTCTGCCTGTCACGAAAGAGAAAAAGTCGTCTGAAAACTCGAGTTTTTCCCGCTTTCTTCCAGACTGTTTTAAAACAACCAAAATGCCGATCATAGCGCCGAACATAGACAAGGTGGTGGTCCATCCTCTGGTGCTTCTGAGCGTCGTGGACCACTTTAACAGGATGAGTAAGATCGGGAACTATCGTCGCGTGGTGGGAGTTCTGCTCGGATCGTGGAAAGGCAAAACCACGTTAGACATTTCCAACAGTTTCGCAGGTAAGAAAAGTTTAAGAAAATATTTTTTTCAGGTATTCTTTGGAAAATGTATTCTAACGCTAGAGTCCTACTGAATGTAGAGGGTATATTCGGTATTGATATTATTGTGGTTTGTTTGTAAGGAACCAAAATACCTGTGTCATGATAGAGGGTGGGAGGGGGGCATATAATGGTTTGTGTTTTGGCAAAATTATTGTACATGTACAAAGACACGTTTTCAAGAAAAAAATATAGTGTGAGATACCTGTACCTTGTAACGTGACATGAAAAATTTTTATATTGTTATATCAATGTATCAATTTCTAAGAAAGGAAGAGAAAAACATGAACAGAAGAAGAACTTTCATCGGTAGTTATGTTGTTTTACAATTAATTTGCACTAAAAAAGATAGGCATTCATTCCCAACTGTAATTATCCTTTTTCTTGACCAGTCCCATTTGATGAGGATGAGAAGGAGCAGAGTGTCTGGTTCCTGGACCATGACTTCTTGGAGAACATGTACGCCATGTTCAAGAAAGTCAATGGTGAGTACTTCATTATTCTGATTAGTCCACTTTCAAAAACATTTTGTTTTAATTCTTGAACAATGGGTATCATGTAATTGTAAAGCTGGTGTGTTATGCCGAAGGGTGGTTATACCAGCTACTAGTATACCGATACTGATACAGATCATACACCCTAGTACAGCACTAGATTGCCCAACAAAAAGAATTATTTTCAATCAACATCTACATCTATTTTATACTGGGCCATATGGGGCATCCCGCCCAGGGTTTTGACAGATGTGGCCAGTAGGGTGAGGGTGCCCCGTAAAGTCATAAAAAGAAGCAAAAAAGTAAAGTGATAGTAAAATGGTGTTAATGACTAATAAACAGTTAGTGCTCTGTACATGGCTTCAACGTGTCCAAAGGTGTGATTGTGAATTTTGAAATTATTATTTTTTCAGCTCGCGAAAGAATAGTTGGCTGGTACCACACAGGGCCCAAACTTCACGTAAACGACATCGCGATTAACGACCTGATGAGAAGATACTGCTCTGCCTCGGTCCTGGTGATCATCGATGCCAAACCCAAGGACCTGGGTCTGCCCACAGAGGCTTACATCGAAGTAGAGGAAGTCCATGATGTGAGTATAGGATGAGTATATGTGTAGCTATGTTAGAAATACCCATCTGCAGTCTAAATATTGCAGAACAAAAATTAAGCAACCTGCAATTTTACAGACTAAAAAAATCAGGCTAGGGGTTCAATGGTGTTTAAGAGCTTTTGTGTTTACTACTGAGTGACTCTAAAATATGCAAGTAATTTTGCATGTATTTTTCAAATTGCATGTAAAATGTTTGGCAACATGCAATTTTGTATATGCCATGGGTTTAGATCTGGACTTTCAAGTGTGTATTTACAGGAAGTATTTCTGAATTGCAAAACAAAATTTTGACATTCTATTGCAGAACTTGTTTTAAAATTTGTGGTGATAGGGTAAGTTTGAAGTTTTTTTTGTGTGTGTGTGTTTGCATTGTAGGATGGCACACCGACATCAAAGACCTTCGAGCATGTCCCCAGCGAGATCGGAGCAGAAGAAGCAGAGGAGGTCGGAGTTGAACACTTACTTAGGTACGTCTGAAAACAGCTGCATGGATGTATCAGCAATGCCACCTAGCTATGTCTAGCAGAACTGCAGATTTGTAGGATGACATGGTCACCAGCCTAACTTTTCATTCCAACTTAGGGCTGCTTGAATCTGCAATGATAGTCAAAATTCTTCTTGAAATTCAAATTTTTTCTCTGTTTCCTTCCTCTCCAAACAAATAAGGTCAATGACCAGAACCAGATGTCTGTCACCATGATAACTGTGGTTGGTTACATCATGTTACTATTTTATTGCAGGATTTAGACTCCTGTCTGACCATATATATGATTGTGTTTGAGTAAGAATTGACAGAGTAGACCATATACGAAGGTAAACATTATACATTTGCTTTGCAACTGTTACCTTACTAGTTTAATGTAAATGTTGCACGTCTGGCCAGGGATATCAAGGACACAACGGTGGGTACCCTGTCCCAGAGGATCACTCATACCAACTAGTAATCCTAGTATCTGCCATACATTGTACCTGATACGATTGTTCTGCAATAAACTTTGACTTAACATCAACCCACAGGACAGAGTCAAGTGGCGGGCTGCCATCAAGCCTCAGTTTTGCAGTGCAAGCACGTCTAACCCTCAGAAGACAGGGAACAACAGACAATAAACCAGACAGTGAATGAGTGTGTTGACTTTAACGTGAATGTTTTATGTTTTTCCCTCCAGGGATATCAAGGACACGACAGTTGGCACCCTGTCCCAAAGGATCACTAACCAGCTGATGGGACTGAAGGGTCTGCACTCCAGAATACAGGACATACGCACCTACCTGGACGATGTGGCTGAGGGTGGGTACACTGCAGCAGCGCCTCCTGTCAACTTTGTATCAAAGTGCAGTTAGACTGGCAATATTGTATTAATAAAGTCAGGACTAGGTTTTCTTGCCAAAGACAGTTCATTGCACAGCCATGTTTTGAATTACACATTCTGCAGATTTCTTGCTTCCTATTATGTAGTTTGGTTTAGACCATAGGTTCAGTTAAAAATCCAGTGAGTGGATATTTTTGGGCTGGAAAGCAGTTTAAAACAGCCACAATGTTTGAACTAGATAGATGGTCAAGTCCCTAACTTGTTCTTGTCTAGCTTGATATACACATGTACCATGTTTTCTTTATGTCTCCAGGTCTGTTAACTTTGTTGTATTACATGTATATGAAATTGTGCATGCACAGTTCAAACTATGAACCTACTTATAATATACAGATGTGCTTTGGTGCTAATGTCTGATGTTTCACCCCCCCACCTCCCATGTGTCCAGGTAAGTTACCTGTGAACCACCAGATTGTTTACCAGCTTCAAGACATCTTCAACCTCCTGCCTGACGTCAACCTGCAGGACTTTGTCAAGGTCAGTCACTTCTCAAGGTCACGCAGTAAAAAAAATAAGAAAATTCACTGATGAAGGGAATTGATCAGTTAGTGCCAATATGCCAGAATGAAGTATGTTGTTAAGTCATTAGAGATATGGCCTCTGGACCAAATGGTCCCTGTTCCACTCTATGCAGAGCATAGGGGAGGTGCCCATCTCCATTTCTGTAGCCCTTGGGCGACACACAGTTCTGCAAGGCACTACAACAGGGGGCTGGTCCGCTGGTAGTGCTGTGTGTTTGACCCTCCCATACTCTTTCTCATATGTGCTGAGAGTTCAAATCCCGGCTGTTGTTGCCAACCCTACTTGCATGCCACCGAGGAATAACAATTTATTTATGTGCTGAGAGTTCAAATCCCGGCTGTTGTTGCCAACCCTACTTGCATGCCACCGAGGAATAACAATTCATTTCCCTGCCATATATACAAAGGTTAATCCCTGATAACAGTGTCTCCCTATATGCATGCTCCTTTGTTCCTAGCGTGAAAAGACGTACAATGTTTCTATTGGGGAATAATTAATAAAGATTACCCGCTTGACTAACGACACTTGGTGGAATTCCATCTGTTATCCCACCAGATCTAAACACATTCCTTCATGTGGGGTTTTTAGTTGGATTAACAGCCAGGAAGTGACTGTGATTATGATAACATAGTGTTGCAATGTGTTAGGAGACAACCCCCCATGTCCCCCTGTCCCCTGTGACAGGAAGCTGTCATAGGCACACCACATCTGTATCTTATTAGTTGTGAATAAAGGACTCAGACCACAGCGTGTGGGAGACAGTTCTAGCAGGCAGCCACTGAGTACGGACATCCTTCATAGCGTCTCCTTTCCTAAACCCTACATTGGTGGCCAGCGGTGTGTTGCCGCTTACGAGCGGCCGAACCCGTCCCTAGCCTACGCCATCGTGCTACGCCATGCCTCCTGAATCGCCAGGCGACGATTCCACCCGCCCGACTGCTGCTCGAGCTGCGCTACCATGCCTGCAACCGTCCGTTTAGCCAGCCTGCCGTCGTGCCATGCAGCCAAACGCCTGCCTAGCCAGCCTGCCGCCGTGCCATATCGCTACCCGACCCCACCCGACCGTCGACGTGCCACCGTCCCGTCCACTACACAGCCTGAGCTCGCTGACCGACCACTCGTGCCATGCATGTGTCCAGCCATCTCTAGCCGCCGTCGCCGAGCCCGACACCACGCCACGTGTACAGGACCGTGCGCCCGCTCCTGAGTAGACCACGAGGCCGTCCTTCTGCGTCCGATCGTGCCAGACCAGCCCATGCCGACGAGTGCCGCCGACCTGAAGCCTCCGTGTGCTCCAGCTTCTGACAATGACCATCCGCATGAACTGTTGAACTTCTGCTGTGACCTGAATGAACTCTAAGTACTTGTGCCTGGAATTTCCACCACTGAACTCTGCCTGTGTATAACATCTGCGAACTTTAGCGAGTGAACTCTAGCCGTGTGTAACATCTGCGAACTTTTGTGGTTTTTGAAAGGTATTGTAGCACGCTGTCCTATCTACTATGTTTTGTATTTTGTGTCTTGCGAATAGAAATGCTAGCCGAGGAACTGGTCGATGCCTGCGGGCCGACACTCCTGTGCATTTTCTATGCTGCTTGCCTAAAATGAGCTGCGACTTACGAGTCAACTCTTTTAGGAAGCCTATTGCTCCCCGATCACATCGAAGGCCGGTGTGGCGTCGGATGACTGTTTTTAGATTATTTTGTGCTTGCCTAGATAGAGCTGCGGCCTGCGGGTCAAAACTACTAGGAAGCCTTATGTTTATGTAACTTGTTTGTATGTTTGTGCTCCAAGTACTGGCGCCTTTGAAATCACCAGCGCCCATTTTCACAGCAGTTAGTCCATATGTGCACCGGAAGAATCCATCTGTGTACCGGAAGAATTTAGTATTTTATGGTCCTCCTGAATGTTTACTTATCAGCTTTGTTTACATTATCTTCGGTCAATCACGCCATGACATGTCTTACCGATTTATACCTTTTCTTGTATCTTGTATTCAACTTTGTAAAACCTTGTACAGTATCTTTCGTTCGGGGACGAACGACTTGTGAGAGGGGGCGAGTGTTGCAATGTGTTAGGAGACAACCCCCCATGTCCCCCTGTCCCCTGTGACAGGAAGCTGTCATAGGCACACCACATCTGTATCTTATTAGTTGTGAATAAAGGACTCAGACCACAGCGTCTGGGAGACAGTTCTAGCAGGCAGCCACTGAGTACGGACATCCTTCATAGCGTCTCCTTTCCTAAACCCTACAATAGAAAAGAGGGAAGGAGACAGATTAGGAAGAGAACTATCGCACACAAATCAGAATGGGGTAAAGACAGGTCGTTCTTCAAGATGAACTGTGGGTGTTGCATGTTCTTAAAATTGATCGGTGTAGTTAACAGTAAAGGCTACAGCAAGGAAATTTTATGGATGACATTCCCTGCAGACCCCAAATCTAATGCGAGAGTACAACTTGTTTACCTTCACAGAAGGATAACATATTGTTTTTGTTCTGTTTCTTCATCCTCTTCTTCTCCAATCAAAAAAAGTCAATGACCTGGACTAGATGTCTATCACCATGGTAACTGGTGCTGTAGCAGACAGCCTGTGGTGTTGAGATACATTATGTAGCAAGACAGAACTAGAGTGGCAGCTCACCATATATTATATGTGAATGTGTTTGAATAACAATAAACAGAGCAGTAGTTTGATAGGCTAGGCCAATTGTGAGGGTAAACATATTGCATTTTCTAGCTTTTAATGCCATTCTCCCACTCCCCCAGGCGTTCTACCTAAAGACCAATGACCAGATGTTGGTGGTGTACCTGGCCTCCATGATCAGGTCCATCATCGCCCTTGTTTAACTGAAAAGAGGGCCTACAGGTTTCAGAATTATAAATTATAATTTTTGTTTTCCTCTGTCCCCCAGGCGTTCTACCTGAAGACCAATGACCAGATGTTGGTGGTGTACCTGGCCTCCATGATCAGGTCCATCATCGCTCTACACAACCTCATCAACAACCAGCTCGCAAACCGGGACGCCGAGAAGGAGGGAACGAAAGAGAAGAAGGATGACAAGAAAGACGACAAGGACAAAGACAAGGATAAAGACAAGAAAGATGAGAAGGACAAGGAGAAGGATAAGGATAAGGAGGAGAAGAGTAAAGACAAGAAGAAGTGATTCTTAAAGTTATAGATATTTTGTTTCTACGTTTCATAGAATTGTTCATAAATGCCACTGGTCACTTTATTTCATATGGAAAGACTTTTGAGAAATTTTGAATTCCTACCTAAATTTCATAGCAGAATATCTCTATGTACATTATGATGAGAATTGTCTTAATGTTAACCAAAGCATATTGTTTCTGAACATGGGGAAAGTCTACTGTCCACATAGTAACAACTTGAAATGCCTATGACTTTCTAGGTATCAAATGACCGGTGTTTGTACCCTGTGAAGTTAAGAGGAAAAACTTTATCTTTTTGTTATTATCAAGGATGTCTGAAGATCTTTCCTCACAACTATCAGTATGAAATAAAGTGATTTGTATTGAAGATTTACAAGTTGCAGTTTAGGGGATGGGGGGAGGGGTCAGGTAAACTTGTTATGGACAAAGTCATCCAGTCTGTCTTCTGCAGGTGCCCATGAATAAAATGAGGGAAATAAATAAAAAAAAACTTCTAAAAAGTCTTGTCATTATTCTTTTATTATTTCTTTTATTTACAGTATGTCAGTATGTGTTTGTGTGTATGTACGTTTCAGCCATTCCCATTATACACAATGCAGCGTTGCCATACTTCCTCAGACGCTGCCACACATAAACCAACCAACACCAGATCAGAAATCACCTATCAGACCATCTTCCCCGCCACACCACATTCGTTTTAAACCACGCGGTTCCACCAAACGACCTGTCACACTTAAACCCTAATCTTCAAGTAGAGGTTGATGGGGGAAGATCGTTACCTTTTTATATGTGCCCCGTTTTTAAATTTTGTCGCTACTATGGTGGGGATAGCGACAAAAAAAGTTCAGTCAGTTCAGTTCATCCTTCAAGAGACACCATGTACTGTCTCCACAAGTTTTGGAGACAAAAAAACGGGGCATATATAAAAAGGTAACGATCCCCCCATCAACCTCTGCTTGGAGAGTATCGAACCCCGCCGAGAACCTGACGACAATAACAAAGAGAAAAGGCGGGCGACAGACGGATTGTTTAATTACATTTCTCCCGATCGCAGCTAGCTAACAGATGTTCCGTTAACGAGATAACAGCTACATGACGTCAAGTCGAAGGGTCGCTCGAGCGGGTTTGCGTCACCGGGCAATTATTCTACAGAATGGAAGTTATGGGAACACAAAGACCGTATCGCGGCCGCCATCTGTACCCGACCCGGTAACGACTCGGCGACAGGACGTAACTGGAAAAACGGGTGGCAGTGACGCATAGAGAAGGGGGGGGGGGTCATTGAACCCGGTTGGTGTTTTCAAATTCCACTGCGAAACTTTTGTTCCGTCGATTTTTCGACCGTCTCTTCTTGCTGTTTTCAACATTTCAATAGCTAAACTTTCTTCCCGCGAGTTTTCGGCCGTCTCGTTACTAAGACCTTCTTCAGGCTAGAGTGACCAATACCTTGTGGCACGTGACTTTGGGTCAAAACTACACGAGCCAGTTTGCGTCATTATTCGACGGAATGGAAGTTATGGGAACACAAAGACCGTATCGCGGCCGCCATCTGTACCCGACCTGGTAACGACTCGGCGACAAGACATGACTGGAAAAACGGGTGACAGTGACGCATAGAGAGGGGGGGGGGTCATTGAACTCCAATTCCACCGCTAAACTTTTCGGCCATCTCTTCGAAATTCTTGCTGTTTTCAACATTGGAAGGAATTATCCAAAATAAAGGGAATAGTATACCAGGGGACATTTTGTGACCTACGGGTGCGGCAAAATGTACTCTAGTGGACCAACTCCCCTGGCATGTTATCTCTCCATTTGGCCAATTTCTACTCTTTCCAGCCGCCTCCCGAAACCTGGTAGAGGCTATTCATTTTTGCAATCCAAAAAGTCTGGTATACGTAGAACTCCGCCCCCCTTGCGCATACATAGTTCGCCAAGCTTTAATAATCTGTAATGGCCATGGCTATCCAAGGTGGTATTTGTGTAACGTTATAACTTAAGGCAAATTATAGTATCTGGCCATTTTCTACTATTCATTTTCAGCAGTCCAAAAAGTCTGGTAGAACGCACAGGTTTATACTACAATGATAGATAAAAAGTAGAAACTGTCCCCTCCCCTCCTTGCGCATGCATAGTTCGCCAAGCGAAGTTGCTTTCCAAGACGGTTGAACCACCTTCCAGACGCGGCCTGTTCCATTATTCGTTATTTCCCGCTAATCCGCTACCAGCAGTTTCGCGTCTTCAGAAGAAGGAAATTACCAGCGGCCTAAACCCGGGCCCATCTCTGGGGTACGGCCATGGCAAGGAAATAGTATGGATGACATCCCCGCAGACTCTGATGCAGTATGGCGAAAAAAAACAAGGCGGGCCAAAAAATCAATATTATTTCAATTTTCAAATTTTTAGGTCATACGCCTTGTTATTGAGGTGAGAAAACATGATACTAGTATCACAACCAAACAGATCTTTTATTCTTGTATCCAACAGTATTACCTGTCCTTGTAGATTTGAGTACACTCAAGTTTGCTGGATCCCTGATGGTGTCCGAACCGATACTCATTTACAACATATTTTCCTATTTTCGGCATGTTGACCACCGTCAGAGGGCAAACAAAGTTGTTGTTTTTTTCAAAATCAGGGGAAAATTAATGCGCGCGCTGATGTCAGCCGTAAAAAGTACTTGCTATGGCCTTATCTCCAGTCTAAACCCCGTCCCATCTCTGGGTAATGAACGCACAGATTTACAGATACTCCGCACGGCGCTCGACCCACTTTCTTACAGTCATAAATTCTGCACGCGAACAGATTTCGGTTAGAGGCCTCGTTTTCTGCATGCCTGGGGACCGGCTCCAAGGTTCAACATTTTTACATCAGGCAATTTTGCTTCCACAAATCGTAGTTAACATACTAGTACTGTCATTTGCATTGTATTGTATTGTATTGTATTGTATTGTATTGTATTGTATAACTGCTATGTATTGCATTGTAAACACGGACACTAGGACAATTAGTATACATGTACAATGTTGTATCACTAATTGAGATTCAAGTTTATTACCAATAAGCAAAGAACCAATATAATTTTTTTACTTCATTTGAATTACCACAGTACAGCACAAGTAGGGCGCAGGCACCACGCATTAGATATCACCGAATATTTCACATATTGCAAATACTGACTTATTATTACTGTACAACATTGGAAACAAAAACAATGCAGCGAATACAATCTCAAAAGACACATTAGTAAACATTCATTCTCCGTGAAGAGTCTGAAATTGAAAAGAAAGCCTCACAGACGGAGACTTTGTTAAAGAAAAGTTTCTTTTCATCGTTTTTGAAAGGATCCGGCGGAGCGAAAAATCAAATGGCACGATTCATCGGCTCTGAGCTTTCAGAGTTTCCGGGTTTCCCAGAAAAGGTTCTTGTCGAGTTTACTTCAGTGGAATAAGCAGACTCCAGTGGAATAAGCAGACTCTGGGCCCTTAAATCAGATCTATTCTGAGGATTTCGTTAACAGGTTTATGCAACACATGTTATATAAGGTCTTTTTTCTAGGTAAAAACCTTCGCACGTCAGAAAAGTTCAACTTCTTGAACTATGTACGGGTAATAGAATTGCTAACGGGTCAGACAGTCCATAAAAACGGCATCTTCCGCTCATAATGTGTAGTCATCAAAAGTTTATGCGTGTTCGTGTGTGTAGGTTTCTTTTTTAACATGTTTGTATGCGTTTGAGTGAATGACTGAGTGACTGTGTGTGTGTGTGTGTGTGTGTGTGTGTGTGTGTGTGTGTGTTTGTGCGTGCGTGTGGGAGAGAGAGAGAGAGAGAGAGCGAAAGAGAGAAATAAAGCCATGGACACTGGGAGAAAAACACTCCACTATCCACTCTCCAAAAATATCCTCCTTTCATCTCCATTCCGTAATTACAGATACATGTGTACCAGCAAAGAGAGTTTGCACAGCTGGCTCCCGTCATTACCATCAAAAGGTACGTAGTCACACAACAGAAGATGTACTTTTCTTTATTTGGACATCTCTTCTCCTTCTCCACTGCAGTCCTACTGTTTGAATGTTTGAACACCTGTCGCGCCACCGCCCCCCCCCTCTGACCATCAGAAGTACTTTTCTTTACTTGGACATCTGCTCTCCGCTTCGCTTCGCCTCTGCAGCCCAACTGTTTGAACACCTGTTTCCCACCCCCACCCCGCTCTGACTGTCAGAAGTACTTTTCTTTATTTGGAGATCTTCTCTCCTCGCCTCTGCAGTCCTGCTGTTTGAACACCTGTCTCCCCAGCACCGGTGCAATATTTTTCGTTTCGTTTTTCGTTTATCTTAATAGCTCAATCAGGTAGAGTGCTCGCTTTGTAACCGGGAGGTCGTGAGTTCAAACCCCGGCCGGGTCATACCAAAGACTTAAAAAATGGTACACACTGCTCTCTCTGCTTTGCACTCAGCATCTATGAGAAAGAGTATGGGAAGGTGAAACACGCAACACTACAAGCGGACTAGCCCCTTGCTGTAGTGCTTTCACAACTGTGTGGCCCAAGGGCTACAGAAAGGGAGATGGGCACCTCCCCTATGCTCCGCAAGGAGTGGAACGGAACCTTCTCCCCAGCGGGGACTGTCAGAAGTACTTTTCTTTATTTGGACATCTCCTCCGCTTCGCCTCTGGTGTTTGAACACCTGTCTCCCAGGACACACACCCCCCCCACACACACACACGCTCTGCCTGTCACGCGGTGGTTTGTAGTTAGTCCAGCCCACGCACAACATTACCCCACTCGGCTCCTCCCACCTGCGAGGGGAGAGGGTTTGATTTGGCGTCGGCGGTTCCCGTCCGTCAGCTGCATAGCCTGGGTACCAAACCTTTGGTCGGCTTGGCGGTAATCTTTCTTCCCCGGCCTTTGCCAAGCACAGGCGAGTTATACCACGGACCTATCTTTCTCCAGCTGGTTTCCCTGTCTCCGCTGACTTCCTGTATTACGCTTAGTCTTCTGTTGCCG